ATTGCATGGAAATCGCGTTTTATGGCTATCAGGACTCCTCCGCCGGAAACTAGGCCAGATCGAATAAAGTCACGAACACATCTGAACACACAATATTCAGCCGGAAATAATTCACTATCACTCACATTCTCAGACAGCCACGTCTCAGTCAAGCAAATTAAATCAAATTCGTAGTCACTGACTGCATTGAAGAATGACACCGTCTTAGAATTGAGACCACGAACGTTCTGGTAGGAGCACCTTAGCTTAAGTCTCTCATGACAATTTGGTCTGTTATTGGGTTCAGTTATGCGTTTAAAGTAACAATCTTCGGAACCCCATTGAAATATTTAATTCTGAGGTTACTTTCACCTTGCTCGATCCTTTCATTCAGTTTGCTCTTTAAGTAGCGATAGAGCTCCATCTGTTTTGGAGTTTTATCAAAAGCAACCGATGTATTTTTATATTTTTAATTGTTTTTTAGGGTATTAGCCTTCTTGATTATAGTATGAACCATCTCCTCTGAGTGAAAGATTGCCTTTACTGGCCTGGTCGAGCCTTGTCTAAATTTTCCAATGCGCAGAACCTTTACGCCCAGATTAGTAAAATTACCATCGACAGTCCCAAGCAAATCTTTAACAACAGCTTGATCAGAAGCCAGTCCTTCCCTTCCATCAGTACCTGTCGGTTCCGGCAAGCCAAATATCATCAAATTCTTTTTACGCTTTTCCCTTTCATGAACTTCCTGAACAACCTCCTCAAGCACAGAGGAATCAGATGAGTTTGAACCATTGGTAGCCTTAAGCTCACTAATTTTATTCTCCAAAGCAGACATTTTCGTAGCGAAATCGTTCTTAGGGGTCTCCAATAAGCTCTTCAAATCACCTAGTTCGCCCATAGACTTACTACAGTTGTTGCATCAAAATTAGACTGACTCGGACTTACTACGAGTAACCCTTACCTCATCAGCACTGAGACCTACACAAGTGAGATGTACATCCTTATTACAACCATCACACGATATTGACGATCCCTGACGGACGTATTCATTAAATAGTTAGGGTACTTGAAGGTACTCATGTTTGAAGAATTCCAGCAAAAGACGGCAACGTCGAGATGGTACGACCCTGCAGGTGCAGTGCCAGGTGTAGCACAAGAAAACACCGAATAACTGATCGCAAGCAGTCCCAGTCACACACTAGATGTTAACTATGACGATGATGCACTTTCAGAAAATTAAATTCACTCTATTCCACATTTATAGGCTCTATAAACAAACACTGTGATGATCAACTTACAATGTTGCCAATGTTGTTAAACTTGTTTAGACATTTGTTGCTAAGCGAAAGAACGAATTTAATTTGCCGTCGGTTACCTTTGTAATAATCTTTAGATAGTGAAAATTAATTTATTGATTCAGATTTTACTTCCAAAATGGTTTACACACTAGCCGAAAGAGTGTAAATGAAGCTCGGCAAACTGCCGTCACGTTTAACGACAGACATCCGGGGAAGATAACTTCCAGAGGTATGTTTTGGAGCTTGTTACTAAATTTACTCAAACTGGATCTGTTGCAACTTAAAAATGTGATCATCGGAGAGTTTTGGATGAAGCTGCTCAAGTTTTGAGTCATTTTGGAATAATTCCTAATACTTCATTACGCAATTTTTTTGCTACGACTGGTATTTCATTAGGCGTTGTACTCACAGTTACTAAATTCCATAGATTTCATCCATTCAAAATGAAAATATTGCAAGAGTTAACGGAAGATGGTTTCGATACGCGAGTTGAGTTTCTTGAACAAATGAGTGCAGCGATTAATGATAATACCATTCATGTAAAGAAAATATGCTTCAGTGATGAATGCCCACTTTATCCAAATAGATTATTTAATAACTATAAATGCGGGTATTGGATCAATGAAAGTCCTCATGCTTTTGTAGAAAGGCATACAAAAATTAATGTATAGGCAGGCATTTTAGGAAACAAAGTGACTGGGTCATTGTTAATTAATGGAGATTTGATGGAGACATTAATTTGGATATGTTGGAAAATACCATCAGTCCCTATCACTGAAACCATTAAAAACCAAATCGAAAAGGATGGAATATATTTCCAGCAAGACTCCTCCTCACTATGTTCTTCCGGTTCAGCAATGGCTAGAAGACGAGTTTCCAGATAAATGGATAGGGCCAAGAGGGCCTATCGAATGGCCTGCTACATCTCCTGATTTGACGACATTAGACTTTTTTCTATAGGCCATTTGAAATCTATTGTGTTTACTCTCCAACCTGAAAGTTTGGATGAACTTCTTCAACGCATTGAACATCGCCTATATCATTGTTTGGCCAATAATGGGCAAAATTTTGAACACTCATTAAAATAAAAATTGTCCTAATTCTCTTGAGTACGAATTGTCCGGCTTTAAAAAATCGAAAGTCAAAATAAAGGACTTTAAAGGACCTGTCAAATAAGCTATTATTCGATACCCCTTGCCTTTTAAAACTTTTAAGCGTATGACCCTGGAGGGCGGAGGGTGAAGTAGTTTTTGGTTAAAAAGTTGTCGCCCTTAACAAATCTATTGACGTTATCTGAGTTTTTTCTTTTAATCAATGGTTCTCGATAAATCCGTGGTGGAAAGTTTGCAAATCAGCACCCTGCATATAACAAAAGAACTGCATGGATCACACCAGTCAAATAGGCACATGCAATTAATCCTTATTCCTCATCCATTTGTCAACGTTTCGATCTAGATATTTCACTCCAAATTTCTATCAAAATGGACTACATGATCCACAAATATCTTAAAAATTCTAACTGACACCCACTAACGAAGAAACGAAGCACTTTTGCATAGAGGTAAATCATGTCCCATCCATTTATTTTGAGTCTAAACATAGGTGGTATATCCACGAAATATTAGGACACGCTATATGATTTTCCAGAACTAGAAAATTCTCTTATTTTGAGAGCTCTTAAACAGCATATTTATTATACGATCCTCAATGGAAAACTTCACCTTGGTCCACATGTATCTCCATAACATCGCCGTAATGCAACTGTTTACCGTTCCTTTGTAAAACATTAAGCCTTGATTAAATCCCGGAGAACATTACTCCTAAAAGCAATACTATTATTTCCGTTACGAGTTCCGCTCTCGTTTCCCTAAAAGAAATTAGAATTTGTCGGGCACAGAAAATATCTCTTTGTTTTGCATCTGGTGTCGTCTGCATTGTCTTAGGGTGGGGTCCCTATAGAGCAACTGACTATTATAGGGAGAGTTTGTGAACAGGAAAATGACAATAAAAGTTTAAGTACTTCGCAGAGACGGAGGTCAATTTCACAGATCCATGTCACTTATGCCGACGAAAAGAAAACGATACAAAGGCTGACATTATGTCTGCCAATCTTTACAGAGACTATAAACGTGAATATTTTATTTTAGATAAGCGCTCTGAGTAGCAGCAGGAATATGGATGAACGTTCTTATGGATATAAAAGCTAGAGTATCCCATTGGGCGTTTTTGGCTATGGGACATTTTACCTGAAGCGGCTAATGAAAAAAGTGAGGCTATAAGATTTATATTCCTACTGGACCTATTTGTACATGTAGTAGGTGTTAAGAAAATGCGATCATCCTTCCAGTGATGTTAATTTGCTAAGTTATGAAAAAAATAGTCGTTTTTGATATTGAGATTTTTTTCGTATTGCTTTAAATTGACTGAAGTACTAAGCACAGCGTATCGTATAGGTTTTTTGCAGTCTTTTTTGTAAAAGAGTCAAAGAAACTTCAAAAAACTAAGCTGAGGAACCGAGAACAAGTAATCCAAACCAATATTCGGATTACGCCATGTTTTTGATTTTCGCACTCCAAAATATAGTAGATAAGGAGCTACTAATCAATTATTACGAGTATATCGCTATGTATTGCTAACTGATAATACAAATATTGGAGAGCTAGAGTGGAGTCTCAGTCAGTGCGACATGTGTGTAAACGAAAATAGTTTTCTCCTAAGTGAATCTGCATCCCATTTCAAAACTACTACAGCCTAACCGGAAGAACGTAGTGAGGCGGAGCGCTGTCTTGCTGGAAATACATTTCAGCCTCATCAAGTACAGGGTTTCCATCCTCTTCGACTTGGTTTTCAATAGTTTCAGTGATAAGCCTGTCGATGGTATTTTCCAACATATCCAAATATATGCCTCCATTCAAAGTTCCATTAATAAACAATTGCCCAATCACTTTGTTTCCTAAAATGTCTGCCCATACATCAACCGCTTTGGGGGTACTCCAATACCTGCAGTTATGCTGATTAATAAATCGATTTTGATAAAATGTGCATTTATAACTGAGGTAGATATTCTTTACATGAATGGTATTATCATTAACCCATATATGCCTAAAGACCCGTCTTTTTTCTATACCTTTTTTTCGAAAATGCTGTTAAAGTAGGTCACAATAATCATATATCTTATTAGTTAACTCAGATTTCATTTAATTTTTGGTTTGACATAGTGTACTAATTATAGGATAATAGGAACATAAGTAGCTATAACATTCGACACAATTATAATGTATGATCATCTACAAAACATTTAACATGTATTCCAACATTACATTGTTTACTCCTTGTTATTTTTTATTATGGAACTGTGCACATCGTGTTTGCTTATCTTGGGAAACAACTAAATGATCCATGCGATCATATCTTGGGTCTGCTAAATTACGTTGTCTTCTTTTCTGGTATGTCAGTTTTTTTTTTATTTTGTGTAGCGTTTTCTAGAAACTTTCCTTTTAAATTGTCAAAAAGGAATCTAATTTCAGCAAACTTATCGCTTTTATCTAACATAAGATTATCTGCAAAATGAATATGGGTCATTATGTATTCAAATTTGTCTCTTGACAAGGCTTCGGCTACAAGTGTGTTATGAGTATCTTTGGAGATTTCCCAATACATTCTTCTCCTTGAAACACTAGAATAACCACTTAAAATTAGTATACCAAAAAACGCTTTTATTTCATGCATAGTAACTTCTGTTGTAAACTATTTTTTTGTTGGGAATATCGATTTGTTCCTTCAACGATTTTATTCAAAATATCGTCATCCAAAAATTTAAAAAACATATCGCTCGGAGCTGTCTCTTCTCCTAAGAAGTTATTGTTATCTTTTGGGAATACATATTCGTCTAATGGAAGGTCTTCTTTTATGTAGTTATACTGATTTTTCTTTTTGATTTCTTTTTTGGCAATTCCCTCAACTTTTCAACTTATTTTGCTAAGAGGTAAATCGTCATCATTTCTTGTTCTTTTCTTACATTTATATCAACTTCACCTTGCATTAGGCTTCCTGGCAAATTATTGATATCCAATTGATCTTCATCTCCGGAATCTGCATCAGTTACGTTCTCGCAAGCATTGGTTGGAGGTAGTAAAGTAATTGAATCCGCCTCAATTCCGTCATCCTCAATCATGGTCAAGGCTTCGTGTAATGAAACACCCCTAAAAACATGGATAATATGAATAAGGTCTAAATTGTAGATACAAAATGATAGCTATTTTCCTATTGTCCTAAATATAGGACGCAAAATTTTGACCGCGTATCAAAGAAAAAGCAAAACCATTTTACTAAATACTTTATGTACAAATTATAGTATTAATATCCGTAATCCCTATTTCTTAAGTGGCAATGCTAAATAGGCAAATCATTATTGTCAAAACATACTTACTTGAAGCGAATGCCATATTCCGCCATTTAATAAATAACTTGTCGAAACGCGTCAATTCGAACCGTAAAGAAACTTTGCCGAGTACAAGACGTCATCAGAGTTTAGACGTTAGGTGTCAACTGACGATATGTGAACGTATACATAATCATGATTCGTGTTACTGTCGGATTGAGTCGAGCAGTTTCGGCCGTACTACATATAGGTCATTAGGTATATATGGGTTAATCGCTGCAATCATTTGTTCACAAAATTCAACTCGCCTATCGAAATCATGTTCGGCTAACTCTTGCAATATTTTTATTTTGAATGGATGAAAGTTATGGAGTTTAGTAAATGTGTATACAGAGCCTAATGAAATACCAGTCGCTGCAATAATTTTGCGTAATGAAGTATTAGCATTTATTCCAAAATGACACAAAGCTTCAACTTGAGCGGCTTCATCCAAAACTCTCCGATGATCACGTCTTTTATTTGCAACAGATCCAGTTTAAATAAACTTAGTAACAAGGTCCAAAACATACCTATGCGAAGTAATCTTCCCCGGATGCCTGGCGTTAAACGTGACGGCAGTTTGCCGAGCACATTGACTTTGGGCACCATATATTAGGATCATTTACGCTCTTTCGGCTAGTATCTAAACCATTTTGGAAGTTAAATCTGAATCAATAAATTAATTTTCACTATGCCAAGTCTGTCACAAAGGTATCTGACAGCGAGTTATATTCTTTCTTTCTCTTAGCAACAAATAACTGAACAGGTATAACAATAAAAACAGCGAGTCCAGGATATCTCTGTTAATGAAAATAATACGGAAAAAGTTAGGGTTGTTATTTGGTTGTCTGCATCTAATCTTCCGAATTGCTACTTATGTTGGTAGTTTCGGTTTTAAATTATAAACGAATTGTAGATTTGGCAAACCCTAATGGGCAACGTTTGGAACACTTACTGAAGTAAACAGTGATATTTTCGTGTGACTTTGTTTTCTATCTGAATAAATTGTTATAAATATTTTTCTGATATTTTCAAATATGTTCGACTAGTTTTAAGAAATCAAACGTCAAAATAAAAGACTTCAAAAGACCTTTGAAACAAACTATTACTCGATACACATTGTCATTTAAAATGTTTAAGGCAATGACCCTGGGGGCCGAGGGTGAAAGGGCTGAAGTAGTTTTTGGTTAAAAAGTTGTCCTTCTTGACAGATCTTTTGACGTGTCTCGGCGTTTTCTTTTTCAGTGGTTTTCGATAGATCGGTGGTGGGAAGTTTTCAAATGAACATCCTGTATAAGCTATAGTTTTGAGTAAAAAAACCCAGTTTTTGGTTTGAGACGTTTACTTCCTGAATTGCACCTTGAACTTTTGAATAATGTCAAATTTGATTTTTATGGAAAAAATGGCCTTAATTTGAAAAAAAACGAATATAGTATAGAAGATTTTTTTATAAGCCAGAAGCAAATAAAAGTCACCCAAAAAATTTTTTTTACAAATTTACCTCTTTCTCCTTGACTGTCACGTAAAATGCTCGTTACTCGTATATATGTTGTCGTCTGTATATAGCTCGGAATAACCCTTACTCTTACTGTGAGGGATGTTACATTGGCGATCACAGTTGCAGCTGAGATAATGTCTTATCTTGTTCTATGCTACGCTATCATTTGTAGGATACATGCCATTAGAAAGCAGCATAGAAATGAGGGCACTGGAAGTAAAAGGGTGTAAGTACATTTTTAGTAGTTCTGAGATAAATATCTTCAAAGTTTACTTGAATTTGAAAATTCCAGGAATAAATTTATCAAAGTATGATACTACATTAAGTTTATTTAAATGCCAACAAAATATTACAAACAAAAAACATTTTCTTAATTTTGCTTTTCTATTGTCATTTTTGCAGAAATGTACTTGAATCATTATACATGTTACAAAAATTATGGTGGTAACATGATTCAAGTGCAACTACCGTACTAAACCAAACATTATTTAAAAATAATCTATAACAAAATTCCTTATTCATAATCAGAATCTAATATTTGGATGTCTTCATCATTTTCTTCATCTGAATCAGCTGGTCTTGGTTGGGGTTCATCTATATCAGGTACTTTTTGGCTTGATGTCAGGGTCTGTGTTTGTTTCTTTTTTCCTTTTAAGTTAATGCTTTCCCATCGTGCTTCATGTTTTTATAAAATGTATGATGAATGGGCGGAATGTATTCCAATAAGCTAAGCAAGTTTTTGTACTTGGCGACTTTAATCTTAATTGAAGTGCCATTCAAAGGCTTTAGTATTCAAAAGTTAAAACACGGACGCCCAACTTTTAAGGTTGCCATTAAGCAACTGCTAAACTCTACATCATTGTTTAGGGTACTCTTGTATCGAAATGTTAGTCTTTTACTTTTATAGTAAGCAGACCAGCAAATTTCTTTCCATTTTAAGGGGTAACGTCACTATTTTTTTTTGGATCGTTCATAATTTCATTGAACGGCGAAAAAGAGTAAAAATGGTCTTTGTTCATATTGTACACAATAAATTTGGCCGATGTGCGTCTTATTACAGTCTCCCAATCTGCGGGGATAAAAACTTGAGGGATTTGCCTTTTTTTCTTCTCGATTAAGCCAAAACTACGGTCACATTCCATGTAAGTGTGCCCGGGTTCAAGGAACTTGTGATGAATCTCAGATATATCTGTAGCCTGAACAATAAAACTAAATAGTTTAGCAATGTTTTTATTCTTATTTTGTCCTCCACACGAATCACTGTATGCAATAATCTTCGTAACTGCAGATGGAAGGCTTTGCACAAATTTTATTAAACATGATCCTATCTCCTGTGAGCCCCTGGATGCAATAGTTTCGTTCCATACATACATATAACCTTTTCCAGGCAGTAACTCAAAAACACAGAAATTATACGTCCATAATTGACGAAGATAAAATACTTTAGAGGTGGTTAACAATGGCGTCGGCAATGCCTGTTGCAAATCAAAACAAATTACAGCCGTATTTTTAGAATCATTTTTATTTTCAGCAATATCAGCTTTTTTGGCATCTGTCGCTTTCTGGGCCTTTCTTTGGTGCAGCTCGAGGTCTTGCTTGGCATTTTTAATCACGTCCTCATTTGTAGAATATTTTATTAAATTTTGTAAATTGTCACAACTACTGCAGGTACCACTATAGGGCATGTGGAATCTTAAATTGAATTCCGTATTGAAGATATGCCTGTAATAGGACTCTTTTACTGGTAATTCTTGTACAAAGCTCCTGATATAATTTTTACATCTTATTGATACTCAATTCTCCTGAGAGATACCTTGCGTTCCCAATCAGTACTCATTTTGTCTATTATTATAACACTACCAACACTGCAAAATGAATAAGTAAAACGTTGAAATCACGTCACACGTAAAACATTAAAAATAGTTGCCAAAGACTTAGAAGTAAAATGGTTCAAGTGCACTTGAATCATTTTACCACATACCTACTGTATTAATGGATATTTTGATATGTTCTCAAAGACTATGAGAGATGGCGCCAGGGAACGTTGCCTACATTTAAATCATTTTACCACAAAGTTAGGATATGCTTTAGGTATGATATTCTGCACTTAGACCATTTAATTAAAAAAAGTGTACTTGAACATTTTTACTTCCAAAGCCCTGAGTTGATACATTCACTATTCAATGCTACCTTGGACGTCCGAAATAAAATTTCGTTGAGCTGCCCTGTAGATTACGTTCCGTATTTTTCCTACACCTGATTTCAACCCTTCCGGAGTTTTTCTTTGTGGAGCTCAAACATCCCAACTGGCAATCCACCTCAAGCGTCACTGCGACCCCTCTGTGTGCGTTCCAAAGAGCCCTCGATGGCTCCCGTCTTCAGAAGAAATCCTCCAGCCGGGTCCTTCAATTACTGATGTGATAATGGCCTGAGCCGAGAGATTTTGAATATGGATATCGCAATTTTGCACCCCACTCGCTTTTGTTATGCTAAGAGAGACCAGGACGTCGTCGATCTAAGAAAATGCCAGTCGAAAGTGCACAAGAACGCGGGGTGTATAACGAACCTTATGGGTCGTTAAGTAAATATGAATAATATAAGAAAGGAGTTCCGATATAACGACCGCGCAACGAACTTTCTTACAGGAGTTCGCTGCTGGTTATTTGTTTAATGTACGATGCACTTACAGATGCATGAATATTTGGTATTTGGTGCTATATTAAAGTTTGAATAGTTCTTTGAATATCATTTTAGTTTGCTCTGTGTTGTAACTTCATCGACTAAGATACGGAATATATCTTTACTTTTTGCCTGAAGTTAGATAAATACATCTTGTACTAATAATTATATTGATGGCGTTCAGAATAATCTGGCTTTAGATCCAAGTTTTGACCATACACTTATATGAGCAGCACAACAAGAATTCCTGGCATACAGCCTCAAACAATAGTTAGTGTTTTGGGTAATTTCTTTAGCAGTGTTCAATCTGTTCTGAGTGGTGACACTGATGAACATTTAAATATCCATGTTTGAGACATGATTTGGTTGAGAAAGTTCAAGTTTCTTCGGGTACAGACAAATTAAAGGACGAGATGACTTCGGGCCCGGATGGAATTCCTTCATTTCTAGTGAAAGACTGTGCAAGACTGCTTGTACCTGTACTAACTGTACTATTCAATTTGAACTTTAGATCAGGTATTTTTTCAGCGCATATCCCTTATCAGTATTATTGCTGAGGTCTTTTTCGAAATTCAGCAAATTTGCATATGTAGTTTCCAGGTTGAATAAGAAAAAGCGGATACGCAACTAATTTTCAGCTTTGCATACGTGTCAAGTAAGTGTATTTGAGACAAGAAACCAATATAATTATCATCAATACAGATTATTAGCACACAAATCCTCACAAGAATCGTTAAGTCCAAATTGATAGATTCAAGAGAATTGGATTTTAAACTTGAAAGGTATCGTAAAATTCAGTTCTGTACAATAGCCATTACGTGACATTACCATAGGTAAGTAACATGTTATGATATCAAAACTAATTTAGACTTCTTCGTCGCATCTGCTAACCTCGATAATGGGTTCAGGATTTTTGTTCCTAACAGATTTTGAGACTGA